ACTTTAGCAAAATTTCTAAATCATAAAGCTTTCTCTTTTTGACATAAAGGAATATTTTAAGAGGACAGCATAGGGGAAAAACTTAAAGTGTGTTTCCTGGGGCTAGCATTGTGATGTGACTCTGGCATCCCATATGGGTGCCAATTTGAGTCCCAACTGCTCCCTTTCTGATCCAGCTCCATGATAATAATGGCCTGGGAAAGCAATTAAAGATATCCAAGTCACTGGGCCCCTGCCACCTGTATGGGAGACCTGGAGGAAGCTCCTGGCTTCGACTTTGGCCTGGCCCAGCCCCAGCCATTGCAGCCATCTGGGAGTGAACTAGCAGATAGAAGATTTCTCTCTTTCTCTCTCTCTCTCTCTCTCTCTCTCAGGGTGAACTAGCAGATAGAAGATTTCTCTCTCTCTCTCTCTCTCTCAGGGTGAACTAGCAGATAGAAGATTTCTCTCTCTCTCTCTCTCTCTCTCTGTGTGTGTGTGTGTGTGTGTGTATAACTTTAAAATAAATATATCTTTTAAAAAAGAATATTTTGAGGTAACAGTTTACTTATAGTAAGATTTTTTTCTGAGAAGAAGGCAAGATCCAGAGTAACAATGAGAAAGATTATTGTTAGTGTATGTACAATTTAATCAAAGTATAAGTACCAGAGAACAGAAAATATTTTTTTTAAATAAAAATTTATTTGAAAGGTAGAGTTACAAAAAGTAAGGGAGAGACTGAGACAGAGAGAGTACACGGGGATCTATGTAAGTGACAGGGACCCAAACACTTGGGCTATCGTCCCCTGCTTTCCCAGGCACATTGTCAGGGAACTGGATAGGAAGTAGAGCAGCCGAGACTCAAAGCTGCACTCCTGTAGGATACCAGTGTCATAGGCCGTGGCTTAACTTGCTACACCACAACACAAGCCCCAGGAAATACACTTTAAGTAAGCTTTTCTCCTAGTAAAAAGAGCAAGTAAGAGTAATGGAATAAAAATTATTCAAAGGGAAAAAGTGTGAACTAGGATTGGAAAGTCTGTTCTAGACAATAGTAGGTTTCTTAATATGTTAATAGATTACAATTGAAAAATTAAAGAAATTGCCTATTATCTGTGTGTTTTGTTTCATCTGGAGTATTACCTAGAGCTATGCTGTCCAATTCATGTGGATATTGAGCATTTAGAATGTGACTAGTCTGAATTGAGAAATGTTATGAATGTGAAATATTCAGTAGATTTCAAAGACTAGTATAAGTATATAAATGATTTTAATAATTTTATATTGATTACCTGTTAAAGTATATATTTTAGATATATTGGGTTAAATTAAATATTAAATTTATTAAATGTTTTTTCTTTTTAAAATTTCTCTATTAGAAAATTAAAAGTTAAATAAATGTCTCATTATATTTCTGTTGGAAAATATAAGCTAGAATTGTTCATGGTGTATTATGTCAAGCAACTTTTAGTAAAATAACAAAACCATTGAGTAGTAGTTTCAGTGTCAAGGGTTGAACAAATGGAATTACATAAAAATATGTAGTTTGAGGAAAATATCATTATTCATATATTTTAAAAAGTTGTTTCTATTGATGGTTTTCCATTAGTGATAGAGTCTTTGGATTATTCATTTAATGAAAATTTATGGAAAGCCAGTACATATAAGACACTGAAAATCTTTAACTGTACTAATGTGTCCTCAAATAATTGCTTAGTGTACCTCCAGAATATAGGTATTTAATGTGTACAGTTCTATAAACCATTCTAGCCCAAACAACTAAATAGTTATTAACTCATAAAACGTTAATAAGTGCAAATATCATGTTCTGGTAAAGCTATAAAATCAAACTTTTTTATGTTCAACCCCATCTTTTAGAAGATTCTGACTTAGTTACATCTCATGTCTTCACTTGTGAAACTTGGAGAAGTTTAAATCATGGCCTTAGATAACTAAACAGCATTTTAAATGGAATGTAACCATTTATTTACTTTATTACTATCTAAAATTAATACTCTAATGAATAATGTTTTTATTAGCCATATATGTCTGAGTATCTCTTATCTAAAGTGCTTACAACCAAAAGTGTTTAAGATTTCGGATTTTGGAATATTTGCATAGACTTTACTGGCCAAGCATCCTGATTCAGAAATATAAAATCTGAAATGCTCCAAGACCTGATATTTTTTAAGTGGCACTTAAAATGTTTTGGATTTTAGAGCATTTCAGATTTTGGATGTTCATTTTCTACATTAAGAACTTTTCAAGGATTTACTAAGTAACTATGCATTTAAGAATTCAGGTATTCAGAAAATTCAAGAAACTCCACAACAACAACAAAAAAAACAACCCACTTAAGAGATGGGCCAAGGACCTCAATAGACATTTTTCAAAAGAGGAAATCCAAATGGCCAACAGACACATGAAAAAAATGTTCAAGATCACTAGCAATCAGGGAAATGCAAATCAAAACCACAATGAGGTTTCACCTCACCCCAGTTAGAATGGCTCACATTCAGAAATCTACCAACAATAGATGCTGGAGAGGGTGCGGGGGTGGGGTGGGAGGGGGGAGGGGAGGGATACTAAATCCACTGTTGGTGGGGATGCAAATTTGGTTAAGCCACTGGTGGAAGTCAGTTTGGAGATTCTCAGAAACTGAATATACCCTACCATTCAACCAGCCATCCCACTACTTGGAATTTAACCAAGGGGAAATTAAATCGGCAAACAAACAAGCTGTCTGCACATTAATGTTTATTGCAGCTCAATTCACAATAGCTAAGACCTGGAACCAACCCAAATGCCCATCAACAGTAGACTGGCTAAAGAAATTATGGGACATGTACTCTATAGAATACTATACAGCAGTCAAAAACAACGAAACCCGGTCATTTGCAACAAGATGGAGGAATTTGGAAAGCATCATGCTGAGTGAATTAAGCCAGTCCCAAAGGGACAAATATCATATGTTCTCCCTGATCAGCGACAACTAAGTGAGCACCAAAGGGGAAACTTGTTGAAGTGAAATGGACACTATGAGAAACAGTGACTTGATCAGCTCTTGTCCTAACGGTTGATGTACAATGTAATACTTTATCCATTTTAGTATTTTTTTTTGTTCTAGTACCATTGGTTGAACTCTGTAATTAACACACAATTATTCTTAGGTGTTTAAATTTTAACTGAAAAGTGATCCCTGTTAGGAATTTGGAAAACATTATGCTGAGTGAAATAAGCCAATCCCAAAGGGACAAATACCACTTGTTCTCCTTGACAGGTGACAACTAACTGAGCACCAAAAAGGAAACCTGTTAAAGTGAAATGAACACTATGAGAAACGGTGACTTGATCAGCCCTCACCCTGACTGTTGATGAGCAACTTGATATGTTATCCCTCTTAGTATTTTTTTTGTTTGTTCTACTTAATACTTTTGGTTGAATACTGTAATCAATACACAATTCTTCTTAAGGGCTGAAACTTAACTGAAAAGTGATCACTGTTAAATATAAGAGTGGGAATAAGAGAGGGAAGAGATGTGCAATTCGGGACATGCTCAAGCTGACTTACCTCAAACGGTAGAGTTAGAAACATACCAGGGGATTCCAATTCAATCCCATCAAGGTGGCATGTACCAATGCATCTCACTAGTCCCAGTGATCAATTTCTGTTCACAATTGATCATAATGATAGGACTAAGAACCAAAGGGATCACATAAACAAGAATAGTGTCTGCAAATACTAGCTGATAGAATAAAAAAAGGGAGAGAATGATCCAACATGGGAAGTGAGATACACAGCAGACACATAGAATGGCAGATGTCCTAAACAGCACTCTGGCCTCAGAATCAGCCCTTAAGGCATGCGGATCCTGCTGAAAAGCCCATGAGACTATTTCAGGCATGGAAAGCCAAGACACTCTGGGAAAAAAAAAAAAACCTAAATGAAAGATCTCTGCGAGTGAGATCCCAGTGGAAAGAACAGGTCTTCAAAGAAGGAGGTACCTTTCTCTGAAGGGAGGAAAGAACTTCCACTTTGACCATGGCCTTGTCTAAAAATTATCAGTCAGTGAACTCAGGGGGCTTCCATAGCCTTGGCAGCTCATGACAAGAGCCTAGGTTGATTACTGATGCCATAAACAAGAGTGTCAATTTGTTAAGTCAACAACAGGAGTCACTGTGCACTTACTCCTCATGTAGGATCTCTGTCCTTAGTGTGCTGTACATTGAGATTTAATGCTATAACTAGTACTCAAACAGTATTTCACTTTATGTTTCTGTGTGGGAGCAAACTGTTGAAATCTTTACTTAATGTATGCTAAACTGATCTTCTGTATATAAAGAGAAACGAAAATGAATCTTGATGTGAATGGAAGGGGAGAGGGAGTGGGAAAGGGGAGGGTTGCGGGTTGGAGGGACGTTATGGGGGGGAAGCCATTGTAATCCATATTCTGTACTTTGGAAATTTATATTCATTAAATAAAAGTTTTAAAAAAAGGAACAATAAAAAAAAAGAAAATGTTTTAAAAATACCTACACTTGTTCCTAAAATCAAATTGGACTTACTATTACATCACTAGGAATTTAACTGTGTTATAGATATTGTTATCACCAATTCCTGTTGCTAACTTTGATGAGAAAGAAAAGAGTGAAATAATAAAAACTGGAAGCATTAATATGGTGTGTTGTATTATAAATATTAAAAATAATGATATTTGAAGCATCCTTTATCTAGTAAAGATTACTAATATATTTAACCTAATTATATTCAGATTGAATTCTTCTCATTTTCTCTTTAATATACCAAACCTCAATGGAAATATTATTCGAAAGATTGTTTCATTATATAATATCATAATGAACAAAAAATTAGAACAGGAAATGAAAAAATAGGACACTTTTTCTTTTCTTACCTTCCATTTGTTGACTCTTTTGTTTTCTATTTAAGCTTTGGCAATCTAAATTGTATTTAAAAATTGATAGCTTCTCTCTCAGCTTTGTGTTCTTTGTTACATACATAGGGAAGAGAAGAAAATTGAATCACCTCAATTTAATGGGAAGAAAGGAATCTACAACAAAAGTCAATGATGAGTAAGTTTGTTTTTTAAATAATTTGTGTGTGTGTTTTGCAGGAAAAGGGTCATGTTAGTTAAAGTGATATTGTAAGAGTAATCATGGGCCGGCGCCACGGCTCACTAGGCTAATCCTCCGCCTTGCGGCGCCGGCACACCAGGTTCTAGTCCCGGTTGGGGCGCTGGATTCTGTCCCAGTTGCCCCTCTTCCAGGCCAGCTCTCTGCTGTGGCCCAGGAGTGCAGTGGAGGATGGCCCAGGTACTTGGGCCCTGCACCCCATGGGAGACCAGGATAAGTACCTGGCTCCTGCCATTGGATCAGCGCGGTGCGCCGGCCGCGGCAGCCATTGGAGGGTGAACCAACGGCAAAGGAAGACCTTTCTCTCTGTCTTTCTGTCTCACTGTCCACTCTGCCTGTCAAAAAAAAAAAAAATAGAGTAATCATTTATTTGTGAAAATTAATAATTTATAAGACACTGAACTTTCTTAAAGACCAAAATACCTTAATTGTCAAGTGGTTTGCAGTAATATATGTTGCCTTGATTTTAATACTCAGTGAGTCCAGTTCTCCTAGCCTCTGCATAATAGGCCAACTTAGGGTAAAACTGAGGAAAATTTCCAATTATGTGAATGGAGAAATAATACTTTGGGAACATAATGCCCAACTGATACCTGGTTGGAGTTAGAGATAGGAACACATTGTAGTTGACAGGATAAGGGATCTAAAGAATCATGAAAGGCTTACATGCCAGCAACCACCCATTTTTATATTGGCCTTCCAGTGGTCCCTTTTAATGATGAAGGAATTATCTGCAGAAACTACTGCCTGTTTATTCTGGGAAGGAAATTTATATCTTCTTCCTGGAAAAGTATAATTAAAAACATCAAAGGCTTAAATTCCCCAAGGATTTTATACATTCAGCTAATTTTATATTTCAGTGTACCCTGTGTGTCATATGCTATGAGAGATTTATTTTCCATAAATAGTCTTATAATTTGTGACTGTAACTCCAGGTCAGGTCACAGTCTTATTTATTTCATAGTGTCAAGCAAGTATACTGTTAATTGCTAATAGTCTCGAGTAAAGGGTATGGCAGCTGACTGCTACTTAGAGTACCATAAGGACAACAGGAAGAAGTTTCTCGAAGAAGCCTCATGGTTTGGCACCTCCTGCATCTGTCACAGTACCCCCTTTATTTACTTTTAGTTACTGTTTTTCCTAGCCATGCTTTTCCCCTAGCTCCGAGTATTTTCACGTTCCAGCCCTCCACCCCACAGATACCTTTTAATACTTTTTAAAAAAGATTTATTTATGAGCTGGTGTTGGTATAGCAGGTAAAGCCGCCACCTGCAGTGCAGGCATCCCATATGGGCATCAGTTCGAGTCCTGGCTGCTTCACTTCCAATCCAGCTCTCTGATAATGTGCCTGCGAAAGCAGTAAAAGATAACCCAAGTCCTTGGGGCCCTGTACCCACGTGGGAGACCTGGAAGAAGCTCCAGGCTCCTGGCTTCGAATCAATGCAGCTCCTGCTGTTGTGGCCATTTGGGGAGTGAACCAGCAGATGGAAGAGCTCTCTTTCTCTACCTCTGCCTCTCTGAAACTCTGCCTTTCAAATAAATAAATAAAATAAATATTTTTATTTATTATTAACAGAGAGAGAGAGACAGAGACAGACAGAGATCTTCTATCCACTGGCTCACTGCCCAGATGGCAGCAACAGCTAGTGTGGGCCAGGCCCAAGCAGGAGCCAGGAGCTTCATCTGAGTCTCTCATGTAGGTGGTAGGTGCTCAAGCACTTGAGCCATCTTCTGTTGCTTTCTCAAACTATGAGAAGTAGAGCAGCTGGGACAAGAATCATTACCCATATGGGATGCCATTATTGAAGGTGGTAGCTTTACCTGCTGTGCCACAACGCTGGGCCCACCACCAAATAATTTTGGTCTTAATTACTATTCCTTCGTTCACCTAACCAAAATTCCCATTTCCTGAGTGAAACTGATGTAAACTAGGTAGTAAGAGAAATCATTCTTTTTTGTCTAACTTATTTAAATTTTATAAAGTAGGAAATATATGTATATAGCAAAAAACCTAAATGTTCATAAGAAAACTAGTAGTAAATAACAATTATGAAAGTCACAGGAAATCTTGTATTTGAAAGCAGATTCCTTCTAAACCAAATTAATTCTGATACAATTATATAAAGCATAACAAACTTTGAAGTCAAAGTAGGCAGTGAAGGAAGAAATGTTTTTGGCCATGGGCATAACCATGTAATAAGAAAGCCAAACCTATAGTGTTGCTTCTGCCCTGAGTCAGCTACACTCCACCTTCTCCAAACTGTGCTTCCTTCTTTCTTCTTCTGAACATGTAAGTCTGCTTAGAGATCAGATTTTTTTACAGTAGCTCCCCTGTCAGTTTGTTTTCATATACCAAAGGAAGAGCAAGAAACTTTATTACAGAGATCACTTAGGAATCTGCCTCTGTGTATTTATTATTAATTTCCCTCAGTATGTGTTTCTGAATTTCCCTACTATTTATCACTCCATGACTTTAATTAGAGTTAATGAATTTGTCGCTTGTTGGCCTTTTGGCTAAGATCAAGTGTAGAGTTAGTGAATTTAAGGATAAACCAGTGTGTTTAAAAATATACAAAAATCTTGCATTTATGATTTTTTCTATTACCTGTAAAATTACTGCCCCAGTCTATAAGACTATTTTTAGCTTTAGTAATGAGTTCTTTATTCCATTTATTTTCTTATTTTAGAAAACTATCCTGAAGACTTGAATTTTTAAAAATCTCAAATTTAACTGAACATTTTACATTTATGGGTCAATTTTAAGTTTTTTCAATGTTCCCATTTTCATTTCATTTTCTTTGTGAAGTATCATCTAGCTAAGAAAAACATGTAATGAAAGAAGCAAGGTACCTGCTTCTAGAATGTTCATGGGGCTTCTTTCCTTGGTGGAGTCACTGTATATTCAGTGTTTGATCTTACATTGTGCAAATTCAGAAACACACCTTGAAATGTTGATAACTAAAGGGTTAACCAGTGCTAATCAGTTTCAGGAGAAATTGTTATGTCTGGAAATATCCTTTTATTATAAGAACTTTGATACAACATCTGATATCGGTTTTCTCAGGGTACTCTTCTCAGTGTGTTCAGAAAAAAGTTCTTTAGGAGTGTTCAGTAATCTGAGAATTAATGAGGGGATAAGATATTTTAAAGAATGTTTTCATTTATCTGGGAGATATTTATAGTATATTATTTCTATTATTTATATATTTATATAGAAGAGGTATTTCTGCCTAAATAACTGATATCTTCCATAAAAAAGCACTATCACATTGCCATCAGCATGGGGAAAATCGGATCTTGACCTTTCATAACACAAATGAAAATCAATTCTGAGTGGATTTCAAATCTGAATGTGAGCAGACTCATAGAATGGCAGATGTCCTAAACAGCACTATGGCCTCAGAAGCAGCCCTTATGGCATTCGCATCCAGCTGAAAAGCCCATGAGAATATTTTAGGCATGGAACGCCAAGACACTGTGGCAAAAAAAAAAAAGAAAGAAAGAAAGATCTCTGCAAGTGAGATCCCAGGTCATCAAAGAAGGAGGTACCTTTCTCTGAAGGGAGGAAAGAACTTCCACTTTGACCATGGCCTTGTCTAAATATGATCAGAGTCGGCGAACTCAAAAGGCTTCCATAGCCTTGGCAACTTATGACAAGAGCCTAGGGAGATTACTGACACCATAAACAAGAGTGTCAATTTGTTAAGTCAACAACAGGAATCACTGTGCATTTAACTCCTCATGTAGGATCTCTGTCCTAAATGTGCTGTACATTGTGATTTAATACTATAACTACTACTCAAACAGTACTTTATACTTTGTGTTTCTGTGTGGGTGCAAACTGTAGAAATCTTTACTTAATATATGCTAAATTGATCTTCTGTATATAAAGATAATTGAAAATGAATCTTGATGTGAATGCAAGGGGAGAGGGAGCAGGAGAGGGGAGAGTTGCGGGTGGGAGGGAAGTTATAGTGGGGAAAAAGCCATTGCAATCCATAAACTGTACTTTGGAAATTTATATTCATTAAATAAAAGTTAAAAAAAAATCTGAATGTGAAAGGTGAAAGAGTGGAAATTTTAGAGGAAAATATGGGACATGCCGTTGTTAAATATTTATTTAAAAGGCAGAATTGGAGATGGGAGCAGGGGAAAAGAGATATCGAGGTATCTTCTATCTGCTGGTCTACTCCCTAAATGGCCTCACCTGCTGGGACAAAGCCAGGCCACAGACAGGAGCTAGGAGCTTCATCTGGATCTCCCACATGTATGACAGGCACCCAAGTACTTGGGCCATCTTCTGTTTTTTCCCAGGTCCTTTAGCAGGGAGCTAGATCAGAAGATGGGCAGCTAGGACATGAATCAGTGCTCATGTGGGATGCCTGCATCAGACAGTGACTTAACCTGCTGCACCACAATGCAAGCCATGGTTTCAACCATAAAAGGATTAACAAATTGGACTGTTTTAAAACTTCTTCTCATGAAACGAAAAACTTTTTAGTTTGTGAAAATTAAACCCACAGAGTATGAGAAAATAATTTGCAAGGCAGCCCAATAGAAAAATGGACAAAAACTTGAGCTGGCACTTCACAGAGAAGATACTTAAATATACTAACAAACATATGAAAAGGTGCTCAACTGGGAAATGCAAATTAAAACTCCACTGGAGTCCACAGTATCCTCACTAGAATGGCTAACATAGAAACAAAGGAAAGTATGAGTTAGATTTTCCTCATGGTTGAAGATATAGAATGATTAGAATCCTTATAAACTGGTGGTGAGAATATAAATAGATAAAAACCATGTTGGAAAACTATTTGGCAACATCTACTAAACCTGTAAAAATGCACACCCTGTAGCCCAGAAATTCTTCTCCAAGGCGTATACTTAGACATAGGTATGCAATCATCCCTTGGTACATATGGGAGGTTGATTCCAGG